TGCCACTGTGCCTTTGCATGACCCCAAATGTCCCATCTCACTTGTATACTGCAGTCCAAGTTCAAATATCACCTTCTCTGTGGGGCCTCTTTGACCCCTGGGATTCTTCTGTCCCCTGCTGACGCAGGCCTCCACCCTAAGATGTTACAGAAGGAACTATCCAGGGATCAGCTGTGTGACCAGAGGCACGTCACCATGCTTAACTTTTTTGAGCCTATTTCTTCATCCAACAGACAGGATAAATAGCAGGGGTGTGGTGAGAATTTGATAAACTAGTATGTAGAAATGACCATTTCAGGGCTTGCACATAAAAGGGAACCCACCTTTGTTCCCTTTGCTCTGCTTCCCAGTTTTTTCAGCAAGTTGTCAACTCTTTGAGGCCTCTGCTCTTACCTTACTCCGAGTACCTAGCAGAGAGCAGGACATAGAGCAGGAGCCCAATGCTTCCTGAATGGATAAACATATAAATGGAAGAATGAATAGAAAACCCTCTCCGTTCCTTCACACTCTTTGTTCAACCCCATATGCACATCTGCCAAATTAATCCTCCATCAATTTGGCTTTCAACATACAATGTTACTTCTTGTTTAAAAATCCTCTATGGTTCTCTACTACCTATGGGTTAAAATTCCTTATTTCATGTATTTATTTATTTATTTAAAGATTTTATTTTTTATTTTTATTACTTTTTGAGAGGGAGGGGAGAGGAAGAGAAAGAATCTCAAGCAGGCTCCACACCCAGCGCGGAGTCCAACGAGGGGCTCAATCTCATGACCCTGGGATCACCACTGAGCCAAAATCAAGAGTCAGATGCTCAACCAACTGAGCCACCCAGATGCCCCTAAGATTTTATTCATAAGTAACCTCTACACCCAACATGGGGTTCAAATTCACAACCCCAAAGTCAAGAGTCACATGCTCTACCCACCGAACCAGCCAGGCGCCTTCAGATTTCTTATTTCAGATGTGGGGGTTCTCATGACCTGGCCTTGTATACTGGTTTCAACCTCATATCCCATTATTCACCGCCACAGCTCTTTTAAAGTAGCTGTTCTGGCAGGTCCACTCATTGCCAGCCGCTTCCAAAAAGCCTTTCCTCTCTGATCCTTCATTCACACTTGGTCCCCTCACCAAAAGGCATTTCCTTCTCTCTGACTACCACGTCCTACCCTAGCTTTAGAGAAAGCTAGATGTCACCAAATATCCCTAAAGAAACTGAAAAAAGTCCCCAATAATTCCACCATTTGTTTGGGCACATTTTATTCCAGAACTTAGTTCGATGCATTGAAAAATATTTTTTTTTTGTTAATTGAGAATAAGCAGTTCCTATAATGACCACATGCTTATTTATACTTAGATAAGCAAAAAGAAGCAAATAAAAATCATCATAATCCTGCTAGCCAGTGATTTAACTTCTGGTCACAATGTAGCCTTTAGACACGTCTTAGTATTTAAAACAACAATCCCATTCATTGAGGTTCAATTGAGATATTGTGATCTATCTGGTTTCTATTCTGCTTTATTTGGTTAGCATTGTTTCAAAAAACATTTTTCATGTCATTAAGAAAGCTTAGTAAAGATAATTTTTTCAAAAATAGAAGCACAATATCCCATTGTTTGAGTAAACCATAATTTACTTAGTATTTCCAATGTTCACATTGAGGGTTTCTTTTTTCAAGTTTTCTTAAAATAATGCTGCAATGAATATTTTTGTGCATAAATCTTTGACCTTGTTTCTCAATAGCTTCTTAGGATTATTACAATAACTACATTTCTGGGACGCCTGGCTGGCTCAGTCAGTAGGGCATGCAACTCTTCATCTCAGGGTCTTGAGTTAAAGCCCCATGTTGGGCATGGAGCCTACTTAAAAAAAAATAAAAAATAAGGGCGCCTGGGTAGCTTAGTCAGTTAAGCATCCAACTCTTGATCTCAGCTTAGGTCATGATCTCACAGTTTGTGAGTTCCAGCCCTGCATCAGGCTCTGTGCTGACAGCGTGGATCCTGCTTGGGATTCTCTGTCTCCCTCTCTCTCTGCTTCTCTCTCTCTCAAATAAATAAATAAACATTAAAATAAAAAACAACAGCTACATTTCTGGAGTTTACTATGTACCAAGCATTTACTGAATTGTTAGCATATTGAATATTGTAGATATTCCCATTTCACAGATGACAATGTTGAAGCACAAATCAATTACATGCTCTCTATGCTCAAAGCCATGATAGTAGGGCGAAAATTTAACCAAGGCAGTATGACTCCAAAGATCATGCTTTCAATCATGAACTTTTTAAAACTCTTCATACATATTGTTGCCAGACTTTTCAGAAAGGTTGTTCCAATTGATGCGACTAGCAGTATGGGTACCCATCACTCTCAATCATCCCTCTTCCGTGATTGCCAGGTATTTGCATCGTGTGCCATGTGCTGTTGCTTCATGATGTTTGCCCATTTAACAGTCAAGGTTACTGTGCCAGTTCGTCCAGCTGAACTTCCCAGTGGCAGGCAAAGTGATGCCCTGTCCCCCAGAATCTGGCCACATCCATCCCACTCTGATGTGAGAATGGCCTGAACAAATGCGAACACTAAAAAATAATGCTTTTATGCCTGGAGACGTAGAGCCCCATAGGCCCGCCTGTTTGTTCGGAGTGGACAGGAGCCTTCCTCTGGCGGCCCGTGCATGCAGACCATATGTCAGTTGCATGTTCTGCCCCTGTGATTACATGAGAAGTGCTTTCTTCTTTGTCCATGGGCTGGCTATACATGCATACTGGTATAATAAAAAATTTATTCTTTTCAGATGATAAAGCTAAGCGTTTGCTATGATTTAAGTATAAAGGTAATACTACAGGGGCACCTGGGTGGCTCAGTCGGTTAAGCGGCCGACTTCGGCTCAGGTCATGATCTCACTGTCCGTGAGTTCGAGCCCCGTGTCAGGCTCTGTGCTGACTGCTCAGAGCCTGGAGCCTGTTTCGGATTCTGTGTCTCCCTCTCTCTCTGACCCTCCCCCGTTCATGCTCGCTCTCTCTCTGTCTCAAAAATAAATAAACGTTAAAAATTAAAAAAAAAAAAAAAGTAATACTACAAAGAAAATTCAGTGTGTTTCTTTAAAATGCTAATACTGGGGCGCCTGGGTGGCGCAGTCGGTTAAGCGTCCGACTTCAGCCAGGTCACGATCTCGCGCTCCGTGAGTTCGAGCCCCGCGTCAGGCTCTGGGCTGATGGCTCAGAGCCTGGAGCCTGTTTCCAATTCTGTGTCTCCCTCTCTCTCTGCCCCTCCCCCGTTCATGCTCTGTCTCTCTCTGTCCCAAAATAAATTAAAAAAAAAAAACGTTGAAAAAGAAAGAAGAAATAAAATGCTAATACTATAAAAACTCCACAGTTGGATGATGGGTGGCATGATGGGCAAGAACAATACCCTTTTGGAAGACTGAGGACATTTCACGGAAGCATCTGAAATGTATTTTCCTAACACAGTCCAATGCTAGGTTTCTACCATGTCCTCCTCTGCCCACTAGCTCAACAGTGTGCTTCTCTGGGGTTCCTTGTATCATGACAACAGCCAGCACTCAATCACCCACTATGGGCTGGACACTTGGGAAGTGTTTTACACACACTCTGATTCTAATCTGCACAATAACCATGCAAGGCAGATAGGATGTGCTTCAGCCTTGAGATGGAGAAGTTGAGGCTCAGGTGTCACAGAGTTAGTGAGAGAGTTGGGATCTGCAAACTCAAGCCTATGCCCTTCCCATGGTGGGCTGGCGGGATAGGCCACTTCATCCTAGACGGTTATCCCTTCTTGCTCACAGTTTGCTGCGCTGTATCCAGTGGAGATTTCTGATGGATCAGAGGAATTTGAAGAGAAAATGCATCTGCATATTGTCTTTGGATATCTACTCTAAACATATAGTGGAGATGAGGAAGAGTTACTGAAACACATCTCCCCAGATTAATGAGGTATTTAAATCCATTCTTGGCTTGAACTATTGTCCTTAACAAATTAGTAACACAGGCTTACCTGACTGTCCTTACAGTCCATGGACATGGCCCATCACCTATTTTTCTCAACTTCTCATGCAAATTGCAAGAGCCTGGAGGCCCTACATCATCTTAGGCAGGGACTGCAGTAAAATATTCTCCTTCTTTCTTCCACATAGTGCGAGGGGTCTGGAGGTAAAATGGTCTTATGTGGACCTAGGCCTAGGTGTGGACAATGTCAGGGACTGCCAGTACCAAGCACTGAGGGAAGGGCAGGACCTCAGGCAGGACAAGGAGACTTGGAAGTTGGCCCTATGTCAAGAAGTGGCAGGAACACAGTCTCCCCTGGGCATCTCTTGTGTAGGGAGAGGAGGAGGTCTTAGGTGGGTGGTGGTAGGGGCAAAGGTTGAAACAGCCTCAGTTCCAGGAGGTTTGCTGGGGGTTAGTTGAACCCTGTGCATACAGCCCTTTCTTTTAAGTACTTTGATGTATTTTTGGTGACAATATGGGTGTGGCTTTCTCTGCCATTAGTTTGAGGGCTCCAGGACAGGATCGTAGCCTGTTCTCCTTGGCACTCACAGAACCTAACCCAGAACCTAGCAGGGGATTGCCATTTAGGAAATACTGGAAGGAGGACTATGAGCAAGTCACAATTTGTAAGCTGCTATCTATGGCTCTCTGTTACTCACTGACTTCAATTCTTCATTAAATATCCCTGAGCTTCTAGTCAAGTCTCTCTCTCTCCCTCTTTTAAGTATGCTTCACGCCCAGCACAGAGCCCCACGTGGGGCTTGAACACCCTGATATCAAGACCCGAGCTGAGCTCAAGAGTCAGACACCCAACTGACTGAACCACCCAGGTGCCCCTAGTCAAGTCTTATTTAAGTGTTGCAGCTGGTCTCAGATGTCTTGGAGAAATTAAGGAAGGAAATTAAAGTATCTATGTCAAATTGTCAAGAGGAAAACAATGATACCCCCATCTCCCTCCCTTTCTCTTTGGCCAACAGAAATGATCAGAAGTCCCCATGGGGAAGGTAAATTTCAGGGAGAAGAGCTGGGGCGCTGAGAACGACCTCTTGGGCATTCTCCATTTCTAGTCTTGGCGATCTAACTTTGATTTGATGGAGGCCAGCAGCAGGTTTCTCACTGGCACCATGCCTGTATTTTAGATCTACTAGTCTGGGTGGGAGTTCTAGCAGTGGGCAGCGGCGGCACTTTTATGGAACATGCAGTAAAATAATCTGATCTGAACTGGAGCCCGCATCTGACGTTTCTCATGGTCCTGCAGGCCTGGCAGGATTAGTGAAAACTGCAAAAACCTAGAGGCTAAAATATCCCGGCCTTTGTTGTGTGTACCTTCTATATTTTGCATTTTTCTAATAATAGCTACCTACTTAAGATACTCTGTTAGTTGCATAATTTATATTATCACTAATCCTCACAGCTCTGCAAGGTAAAATATTACTAAACCTACCTTTACAGATGAAGCAACCAATGCAAAAGGTTTGTAATTTTCCTAAGCTGGAGCCCCCAGAGATCACACGTTTGTAAGAACCTAAGCTGGCATCAGACCCCCTTGTTATTTCCACAGCGTCAGATGGTTTTTGTTACGGGTGATATCCACTGTCATCTCTAAGCTAATTTTCAGACTTCTTGTCTGCAAAATTATTTTAAAAAATATTTTTCTAATGTTTATTTTTTAAAAAAATTTTTTAACATTTATTCATTTTTTGAGAGACAGAGAGAGAGCACAAGCAGGGGAGGGGCAGAGAGAGGGGGAGACACAGAATCCGAAGCAGGCTCCAGGCTCTGCGCTGTCATCACAGAGCCCGATGCAGGGCTCGAACCCTTGAAATGCGAGATCATGACCTGAGCCAAAGTCAGACGCTTAATCGACTGAGCCACCCAGGCACCCCAATGTTTATTTACTTTTGAGAGAGAGACAGAGCGTGACCAGGGGAGGAGCAGAGAGGGAGGGAGACACAGACTCTGAAGCAGGCTCCAGGCTCTGAGCTGTCAGCACAGGGCCCCACGTGGGGCTCGAACCTATGAACCGTGAGATCATGACCTGAGCCCAAGTTGGTTGTTTGACCACTTGAGCCACCCAGGTGCCCTCTGTGAAAATTATTTTTTTTTAAGGGTTAGTGATTACCTGTAGGTTCTTTTTCTTTCCTTCAAAAATTGACTCTTGTGTGTGTCAATCAAAACTGTTGGGTGCATACAAAAAGTTTTTAGAATGAGCACTGTAAAGGGGCAATATTAAAGTAAATGGGGGGACCCCAAAACAAAAACCTTTAGCAGACCAATAATTACATTTCAAATTCTAGTCCTCTGTGCCCACATTCTGCGAGGAATTTGTATGCAGGACTTCCTCTTCCTAAAGTGTTCCCCTCCTTCCCTCCTTAGCATCCAGGTCAGTTGAAATCCAAGATCTTCCCTGAGGCCACCCCCACAGACCTCACCTCAAACAAAAAGGTTCTTTTTCATATTTTGATAACATTCACAGTACCAGTCTGATTGCTCATTTGATCGATCATTTAATTGGAGCCTGCCTTGCATTTTTGTTTAAATGTGTTCTGAGCTTTTGCTTTCCCATATTTTTGCTATAGAATGCAAAAGGGCAAAGAGCCACCCCTTCTTTTTTTGCTTTTGTAGCAAGGAGCTTCCATGTACATAGAAGTTGCTCAGTAATATTTAAATAGTGATTAAATAGGTGAAAAATAAGTGAATTTGGAATAATTCAGGGAGTAGGTTGATTGGATTGGTATAAATAACAACTGACATTTAAAAATTTTTTTAATTTAAATTTTACTTTTTTAAAGTTTATTTATTTATTTTGAGAGAGAGAGAGAGAGAGCGCGCATGCACACAAGTAGGGGAGGGGCAGAGAGAGAGGGAGAGAGAGAGAATCCCAAGCAGGCTCCATGCTGTCAGTGCAGAGCCCGACCAGGGCTCCATCTCACAAACCAAACCTCAAGATCATGACCTCAGCTGAAACCAAGAGTTGGGGGGCTCAATCAACTGAGCCACTCAGGAACCCCAACAACAGACAATTTAAAAGGTACTTTAAGATTCATCAAAATGTTTCATGAGCAGTCTCATTTGTATCTCAAAATAAACTGCTGAGAATATTGGGTTGGCGAGGTTAAGAGACTTGCTCTTGAAATTCAGATCCTCTTCCTCCAAATTTTGTACTATTTTCAGTACAGTTGACTTTTAAGTACAAATATAAGATTATAAATCTGGAGATGTACTCCCCCATCATACATCCTCACCAGCAGAGGGCGCAGGACCACGTATGGGTCTTATTCTAAGACCGGTTTGTATACTGGCCCAGTATAAGAGCTGGGGGTCATTGGGCAAATTGTTTAATTTTACTGAGCCTCATCTGTAAATATTGGTAATAACACACCACCCCCCCAACTTGCAGAGTGCAAAAGATTAGAAATATTCTGTGGCTGGCACACAGTAGGTGAACAGTAAACCATACCTCTCATGATCCCTACAAGAGGATTGAGCACAGGAACAGTGTGTAGGTTAAATAAAATATTGATTCTTGTTTGATGCTTAAGTAAGTATTTGAAATTAGTTTGCATGTTTGACACTTAAAACAGGCAGAGTTATAGCAAATGGACAAAGAAATGAATATTGATGAAAAAATTGATATTGCTGGCACGAGTGTGAGGAAGCAGACTGGGACAAACTTTCTGGATGGGAAACCTTAAAAACATGATATGCCATTTGCCCCCATATCTATTTAGCCTAAGAAAATATTGGACAGTAAGAAGATTTAGAAAAACACGGGAAGTCATCACCATACTCTTCCTAAAAGCAACACTGGAAACAACCTAAATGTTCAATGTAGGGTACAGTTTCTTTTTATTATTGTTAGTTTTTGAACGTCTTATTTATTTAAGCAATCTCTACATTCAACATGGGGCTGGCTTGAACTCACAACCCCAAGATCAATAGATGCTCTTCTGACTGAGCCAGCCAGGTGCCCCTAGGGTACAGATTTAATAACTATAATCTCTCCATCAAATTAAACACTATTAATCATTAAAATGATTCTATAGAAGAATATTCTAAATGAAAAGATGATCTTAACACAGCAAGCAAAAATCACAAGACACAAACTGTGTGCTTTCACTTGGTTAAAAATACAGGATAGAAATAAAAAGTTCAAGTTATTTCTGTAGCAGATGAAACCATTAGTGGTGTTTTTTTTATTAAAACTTCTCTTCACTGGAGCACCTGGGTGATTCAGTTGGTTAAGCCCCTGACTCTTAATTTCAGCTCATGCCCAGAGTGGGGCTCTGTGCCAACAGCTTGGAGCCTGCTTGGGAGCCTCTCTCTCTCCCTCTCTCTCTCTCTCTCTCTCTGCCCCTCCCACACATGTGCTGTCTCTCTCTCAAAATAAATAAATAAACTTAAAAAAAAAACCCCAAGCTTCTTTACTTACCTTATTCTCTAAATGTTGTGCAATTAACATTTATCACGTTTGTAATAAAAAATAGTTCATGGGGTGTCTTTCATTTAACGCTACCTACCAGCACAACCAGGCCAGTGGTCATGCAAATTAAGTTAATGGTAATAAAGCCTCTTAGAAGTTTCAAGGTAGTTAGTTAAACAAAATAATTAAACCAATGAAATTTCACAGAGCTGGTCACCAAGCTTTGACTTAGCTGCTGTAAGGCTGCTATAAATGGATCTCACTCTCCACTGTTTCAAAAGGCCTAAAAATGGCATAAAATAAAATATGAGCAATTTTTCATGCGAAGGGCCACATGCCTGTTTGTCCTAAGCAAATGTAACCTGAAACTCACCCATATCTCATATACTCCAGGTTGGCTGCCCATCTCTGGACAGGCTGTATTTGCTCTCCATTACTCAATTTACTTTCCTGAACTTGAAGTGGAGTGGAATTTCAATGTAGAGTTACCCATTAGTTCCAGGGCTAAATTTAAACCTTTAATTAAATTAATCCCTTGATCTTAAATGCATTGCTTCTCCCTCAGAAAAGTGATAGAGGTGTCTTAGACATCACAGAGCTTAATAAAGTGTGACAATTGTTCCTTACCGCATAGGGAAACCGGTACACGTTTGTAGAGAGCTCCTGGTGCCCTCTGGCCTCCCACCCCCCTCAGCCAGCACAGGCATTTGTTGGGGCTGGGGCCAAGGTACAGCATTCTGTGTCTCCTCCCAGGTCCAGACTTGCTGTCCAGTCATTGAATCCTTGGGCAGGAACCCATCTTAAAAGAAGACATGGTAGATGCCAAACGAATGTTTATGAACTAAATGACAGAAAGTAACTGTGCATATTGTTCCAGTTTATATGGGATAAAAAAGATCATAATCCACAACATTTGCAGGGTGACTAGAGGAAAAGGGCGTGAGGCCTTTTTAGCTTATCTTGGTCTTCATAGAGTAAAAATTGATGTTGGCTTTTGCTAAGAAAGAGATGAAAAGTGACAGCACCATCAAGTGGGGATGTAGAAATTAGCCCGTACAGAAGATGTTCACCTGTGCCTGGGCTCTGTTTGCACCCAGGGGTGCGCAAATATCTCAGGGGCCTGCGAATGAATGAGACATAACCTTAGTCGTTAAGCGACAGCTTTAAGGTGGGACTGACCACGTAAGGGGTTGTGAACCTACTCGTATAACTGTTAATAAGGACCTACTTCTCAGGGCCCAACGGCAGCGCGGGGTCCAGTTAACAAGCTCGTGGGCCAGATCTCAGCTTCCCTCCGAGTAACTGTCCTGCGGACCCATAACTCTCCTGGGACCACATCCTCAAGCCGGGACTCCAGGGTTCTGCTTGCACCCCCGCCCGCGATTCCCGATTCCTTGTGCGGGCGCGGCGGCAAAACGTGCTCGCCTCCCTTAACTGGCGCCCGCGCACCCCGGGAGCCAAGAACTCCCCGCAGGAAGCTCGGAGTACCTGGACCCGCTGCAGATAACCCCCGCCCCGTCACCCGCTCGGCTTTCTCTTCCTCCTCCTCCTCTGGCCCCTCGCCTCCCGCCGCCTGCCTCCGCGGCCGCCGCCTGCGGCTTTGTTTTCCTCCCAGGTTTCATTCCCCACACGTGATACTGTGTTATTGCAAAGAGCGCTTCGGAGCGCGAGCGCAGGGCGCGCGCACCTATAAATACGGACACCGGGTTTGGGAAGCCGAAGACCGCAAGGGTGGGGAGGGCCTGGGACTTGGCGATCAGCGACCAGCCAGCCAGCAAGGAAGCAAGCGACCGAGCTACACAGCCGCGCGCGTGGGCCCGGGCGGCGGCGTCCCCGGCCGCAGCACCAAGGGGTGAGCATGGCCCGCCCGCGGGGGGGCCGGGCCGCCGCGCACGCCGCCTGCGCCCCGCGCCCTGCCCAGCCCGGGTCACCGGCGCTCGCGCTCGCTGCTTAGCACTCGGGCGCCGCTCGCTTCTCCGGGCATCGCGGAAATACCGCCGCAGACGGACACAATG